ACCCCGTTACACACACACACTACACACACACACTACACACACTCATATAACAACAACAACAACAACCGCCATTCGCCACTAAGTGGCGGTGACGTCACCACGACGCTTGTGCCAGGCCAAGTGCACCTTGAGGCCACGTAAAGTGTCGAACGCCCGCTGGCAAGAGGTCACGGGGGTACCACACACTACACACACCACACACACACACGCCCTGTTGTTACACACACACTCATACACCCCGTTACACACACACACTCATACACCCCGTTACACACACTACACACACCACACACACACACGCCCTGTTACACACACACTCATACACCCCGTTACACACACTACACACACCACACACACACACGCCCTGTTGTTACACACACACACTCATACACCCCGTTACACACACACACTCATACACCCCGTTACACACACTACACACACCACACACACGCCCTGTTACACACACACTCATACACCCCGTTACATACACTACACACACACCACACACACACGCCCTGTTACACACACACTCATACACCCCGTAACACACTACTACACACACCGCACACACACACGCCCTGTTACACACACACTCATACACCCCGTGACACACACTACACACACCACACACACACACGCCCTGTTACACACACACTCATACACCCCGTGACACACACTACACACACCACACACACACACGCCCTGTTGTTACACACACACTCATACACCCCGTTACACACACACAGTTATACACCCCGTTACACACACACACTCATACACCCCGTGACACACACTACACACACCACACACACACGCCCTGTTGTTACACACACACACACTCATACACCCCGTTACACACACACACTCATACACCCCGTGACACACACTACACACACCACACACACACACCCTGTTGTTACACACACACTCATACACCCCGTTACACACACACACTCATACACCCCGTGACACACACTACACACCCCACATACACACACGCCCTGTTGTTACACACACACACTCATACACCCCGTTACACACACACACTCATACACCCCGTGACACACACTACACACCCACACACACACGCCCTGTTGTTACACACACACTCATACACCCCGTTACACACACACTCATACACCCCGTGACACACACTACACACACCACACACACACGCCCTGTTGTTACACACACACACTCATACACCCTGTGACACACACTACACACACCACACACACACGCCCTGTTGTTACACACACACTCATACACCCCGTTACACACACACACTCATACACCCCGTGACACACACTACACACACCACACACACACGCCCTGTTGTTACACACACACTCATACACCCCGTAACACACACTACACACACCGCACACACACACGCCCTGTTACACACACACTCATACACCCCGTGACACACACTACACACACCACACACACACCCTGTTGTTACACACACACTCTCATACACCCCGTTACACACACACACTCATACACCCCGTGACACACACTACACACACCACACACACACACGCCCTGTTGTTACACACACACACTCATACACCCCGTTACACACACACTCATACACCCCGTGACACACACTACACACCCCACACACACGCCCTGTTGTTACACACACACTCATACACCCCGTTACACACACACACGCCCTGTTGTTACACACACACACTCATACACCCCGTTACACACACACACTCATACACCCCGTGACACACACTACACACACCACGCACACACACGCCCTGTTGTTACACACACACTCATACACCCCGTTACACACACCACACACACCACACACACACTCATACACCCCGTGACACACACTACACACACCACACACACGCCCTGTTGTTACACACACACTCATACACCCCGTTACACACACACACTCATACACCCCGTGACACACACTACATACACCACACACACACACGCCCTGTTGTTACACACACACACACTCATACACCCCGTTACACACATACACCCCGTGACACACACTACACACACCACACACACACACGCCCTGTTGTTACACACACACTCATACACCCCGTTACACACACACACGCCCTGTTGTTACACACACACTGCTGCCACCACGTGTCTGGCTACTCGCCTCGGGAAGCGGATTCCCCTACGAGGGGGCGGGGTGGGGGAGGAGGGCTTTGGGGGGTGACACGGGGGGGTGACGCGGGGGGGTGACGCTGGAGGGGGGGGGATGACGCTGGAGGGGGGGGGATGACGCTGGAGGGGGGGGGGGGTTGTGACGCGGAGTGTGGGGGAGGGGCTAGGGATGCAACCCGCCCCTGCATCATCCGGACTCCACATGCTGAAGTCATCATCAACATCAACACTCGCGGCTTCTCCTCTTCACCATCATCATCGTCGCGCCTGTTTCCATATCGTTATATTCGCTAATCCACCGTAATCATAACCAGCATCAGCCCTGACTCATCATCGGCATCTAGCCAGATTCATCAGCCGCTGCAAAGGAGGCATCATCATCACCACCATCATTCGCCGCTGACGCCGTCCTCGCTCCCGCGATGGCAGCGGATGACGGAGACGCGCTCTACGGTGAGCAGCGGGGCCGGGTCGTCGTGGGGTCCACGTGGGTCTGGTGGGTCTGGTGGGTCCGGGTGGGTCTGGTGGGTCCGAGGGGGTCTGGTGGGTCCGGGTGGGTCCGGGTGGGTCTGGTGGGTCTGGTGGGTCCGGGTGGGTCTGGTGGGTCCGGGTGGGTCTGGTGGGTCCGGGTGGGTCTGGTGGGTCCGGGTGGGTCTGGTGGGTCCGGGTGGGTCTGGTGGGTCTGGTGGGTTCGGGTGGGTCTGGTGGATCTGGGTGGCAACCAAGACGGTCGGTCTTGATGGGGCTGTTGGGTCATGACGCGTGGTGATGTGTGCTGATGGGATCTGCTGGGACCTGGCTGGACCAGGTGAACTCTTGCATAGCCCTTCCTTTACAAGTCCCCGTGGCTTGGTGGTCCCTGGGGAAGCCCTGCAAGGGTACCCCGTTGTCTAGAGCCTCACCTAGCAGTGGGTCGCTTGAAGGCCGTGTACGTCTATGATTCCCTATGCGACCATCATCAGCCAGGATCAGTGCATTGCTGGATGAAGGTCTCCCCCCCACCCCCTCGCCTCTGCGACCTCTCAGGAGCCTGCGACGGTCAACACCGCACCCTCAGTGCGGTGTTGCACCACACACAGACATCCTACTGATGAGACACCACACACAGACATCCTACTGATGAGACACCACACACAGACATCCTACTGATGGGACACTGTACCACACACAGACATCCTACTGATGAGACACTGTACCACACACATACATCCTACCGATGAGACACTGCACACAGACATCCTACTGATGGGACACTGCACACAGACATCCTACTGATGGGACACAGCACACAGACATCCTACTGATGAGACACAGCACCACACACAGACATCCTACTGATGAGACACTGTACCACACACAGACATCCTACTGATGAGACACTGTACCACACACAGACATCCTACTGATGGGACACAGCACCACACAGACATCCTACTGATGAGACACCACACACAGACATCCTACTGATGGGACACTGCACCACACACAGACATCCTACTGATGGGATACTACACACAGACATCCTACTGATGAGACACTACACACAGACATCCTACTGATGGGACACTGCACCACACACAGACATCCTACTGATGGGACACAGCACCACACAAACATCCTACTGATGAGACACAGCACCACACAGACATCCTACTGATGGGACACCACACACAGACATCCTACTGATGGGACACAGCACCACACAGACATCCTACTGATGGGACACCACACACAGACATCCTACTGATGAGATACTCGAATGTCGATCCTGGTCTAGAGTTTGCTCGTGTTGAAGCAATGCTGCTCACACGATGCACGGGGCCGTGTGGCTGATGGTGGGATGTGCAAATGCATGTCGATGTGGAGGGGCTGTTGTGTGAAGGAGGCGTGATCATGGCTGCCTCTCTGCATTGTGGGCCTGTGTAGTGATGCGTGTCGCATCTGCGTGTACAGTCGGGGGGGGGGGGCAGTAGGAGGACTCTGCTATCAGCATGTACCCCGTGATTCCGAGTTGATCTGCTGGGTCAAGTCGCGTGAGCACAACGCCGATGTGTGTCGTGGACCCTCCTCCACCACACGCAGCCGAATAAATAAAGCTGTCACGTGAACAAATGCACTTTCACTGATCATTGACCAAGAGTGATCCACACCGTTTAATGCCTGCATCGGTAAATGTTTAAACGCCTTGTGAGTCGTAACAATTGTCGCGAAATCCCCGCGTGGTGAGCCCTGACCCCAACCCGCCCAGTGTTTGTTCAAGGCAGAAGCCACGGGAGGCCTCGGCCTCTTGACAAGACGTGTCACACGCCAGTCGCTTGTGCTTCAGTCCTGGCCAGCGCAACGTGCCGTGACGGGAGCGATGGCGCCAGTCCACTGCTGGATGAGGGGCCACCCCGGGCGACGGGTCGTAGGGAAGTCATTTGACCATACTTCACCACGATGGTCAGTGCACGGTGGTGAAGGGGTTGGTGTGATCTTGGCCGGTTCAGATGTGCTGCTTATGTAATTCGCCACCGATTGTTAGCCGTAACCAGGAATCTAATTTGGTCTGTTTGTTTCATAACGGAGTGCGCTAACCAATGCGCCACCGCTCCACGTGTGAGTTTGTGTGTTCTCGCCCTGAGCTCCAGCGTGAGTGTGCGAGTGGATGGAAGCGAGTGGATGGAAGTGCGCGTGTGGCCTTCATCTGAGCTGGCTAACAGCACTCGCCCCAGCAGTGTGTGTGGGGGGGGGGGGTCTGTGTGGAGTCTGCACGATCCACCCTCATTGTGCACCGCGTCCCTCCGGGTTCTCCGGTTTCCTCCTCGCTTGCGAACCGCGCCCTCCCCGCCCTCCCCCCGCCCCGCCAACTGCGGCAACTTGGCAGGGCCCTCTTGAAACATGAGTCCCGAGACTCAGTGAGGCTCTACTCGGTAAACAACACTAAACCAACTTGAGATCGTCTCATTGAGTCTCAAGACTCGTGCTCAGGAGGGTCCCGCTACATTGGCATCGGCGCGAGTCGCCGTCACGCGGCTCACGAGGGTCTCCCTCTCGGGATGGCTTCATGGCCCCTGTGCTCTACCGCTATTTCTGGCCGTCATCTCGTAGATCAGTGACTTGGGAGGAATCTGTGCGTGATTTCCGAAGCCGAGCAGTTAAAAGCAGGATGGCAGGCGCCCCACATCGCCACCACGCACCGGTATCCGCAGCGCTCTCAGCAGCGGCAGCAGCAGCAGCAGCTGCAGCAGCAGCAGCTGCAGCAGCAGCAGCTGCAGCAGCAGCAGCTGCAGCAGCAGCAGCTGCAGCAGCAGCAGCTGCAGCAGCAGCAGCAGCTACAGCGCTCTCAGCGCCGCTGCTGCTACAGCTGCAGCTGCTACAGCTGCTGCTGCAGCAGCAGCTGCAGCTGCAGCTACAGCGCTCTCAGCGCCGCTGCTGCTACAGCAGCAGCTGCTACAGCAGTAGCAGCAGCAGCAGCTACAGCGCTCTCAGCGCCGCTGCTGCTACTGCAGCTGCTGCTGTAGCAGCTGCTGCAGCTGCTGCTGGAGGAGCGGAGGCGGCGGCGGTGCCACAGCTCCCGCGTGGCTCTGCGGACCCGGCGAACCGAGTTCAATTCCCGCTCGCGGCTAACATCGGTGACAGTGATTGAATCGGTTCTGGGCCCCGCCTAGGTTGACCCAGCCTCAAATTAGCACCTGTGTAAAGATCGCCACTAGGGAGACGAAGGTGGCCGGGTATGGTGCTGCCCCCACCCTCTCGTGCGCCGCGCCGGCCTCAACGCGCGCTCGCGGCGCTCGCCCCGACAGTCCGGGCCGCCCCCACGGGGCGTCGCTACCCTGGCGGTGTCGGTGTTGGTGGTGACCGTGCGAGCACTCGCGCCAGAACTAACAGCAGCAGCAGCAGCGCCATAGGCACTACCAACACACCGGCACCCATCCTCACTCTTAGCATGCACAATAACACGACCCTCAAGTCGAACGCTGCTAACGCAGAGCGAACCCGGCCCCACCCCTCACCCACCCCCACCCCTCACCCACCCCCACCCCTCACCCACCCCTCACCCCTCACCCACCCCCACCCTCACCCACCCCCACCCTCACCCACCCCTCACCCCTCACCCACCCCTCACCCCTCACCCACCCCTCACCCCTCACCCACCCCTCACCCCTCACCCACCCCTCACCCACCCCCACCCCTCACCCACCCCTCACCCCTCACCCACCCCTCACCCCTCACCCACCCCCACCCTCACCCACCCCTCACCCACCCCCACCCCTCACCCACCCCCACCCCTCACCCACCCCTCACCCACCCCCACCCCTCACCCACCCCTCACCCCTCACCCACCCCTCACCCACCCCCACCCCTCACCCACCCCTCACCCACCCCCACCCCTCACCCACACTTCACCCACCCCCACCCCTCACCCACCCCTCACCCTCACCCACCCTCACCCACCCCTCACCCACCCCTCACCCACCCCTCACCCACCCCTCACCCACCCCCACCCCTCACCCACCCCTCACCCTCACCCACCCCTCACCCTCACCCACCCCTCACCCACCCCTCACCCTCACCCACCCCTCACCCACCCCGACCTTCACAGAGCCGAGACTCCCTCACCCAACCGGCACCACAATGAGTCGGCAGATCCCCCCCTCCACGTGTTGGATCTCTCCGCGAAAAAAAATCTATCAACATATTTAACACATCCCATCAGCCACGCACTTGGCCCTCTGTGTGGGTGGATCTTGACAGCAGCGTGTGGCTCAACACAAGCAGACCGGTTGTGACATTCACTGTCTCAACGTGCGAATCGCATGATGCAATAAGTCGGAGCGATTGTAATGACTGCAGCTCGCCTTTAATGATTACATGTTCACGATGCCCCCTGCTTAATCGTTGCCTCCGCTGACGATGACCACCAAGCTGAGCCTCAGCCTGCTCGTGCCGTGAGTCGCGACTTGCCCCCCCCCCCCGACACGCTGTGGGCGGCGTGCGCGTGCCCCGAGTGAGTGGGTCGTGTCGCGGTGACCTGCCCGGGCTCGATTCCCGCTCACGGCCAACACCGGTGACGACTCTCTGAACCGGTCCTGGGCCTCCCCTAGGTCTACTTAGCCTCAAATGAGGTGCGATGTGTAAACATCGGCACTGGCAAGACAAAGGCGGCCGGGCGTGGTGTTGGGCACCCACCCCCTCGTGTGCCGTGCCGGCCTTCATAGGTGCTCGCTAACAGCACTTGCCCCAACAGTCTGTCCCAGGCTACACGGGGGATCTTTGTCTTTGGGTAAAAGAGTGTATACCAACTCGCTAACAGCACTTGCTCCAACAGTCTGTCCCAGGCTACACGGGGGATCTTTGTCTTTGGGTAAAAGAGTGTATACCAACTCGCTAACAGCACTTGCTCCAACAGTCTGTCCCAGGCTACACGGGGGATCTTTGTCTTTGGGTAAAAGAGTGTATACCAACTCGCT